ATTCTTCCGAAATAATGCATTATATGTCATCAGAGCGCCCCAAAACCTTAAAGTAGTGATGTCATCTGCCACCTCCCAAAGGCCGCATTGCTTTGTATTTTGGCCAGCGTGATAAATGCATTCATATGAGAACGTATGGATTTAGGTCGTATTGCTTTGTATTTTGACCAGCGTGATAAATCCACCCATATGAGAACGCATTGACACGTGTAAGAATGCGAGGTCAGTCTGTACCCTATGGTTGTGAAACCGATATCAACGGATAAGCTAGAAGTGCAGTAACCGGCTGGTCTATGTCCCATTGTTATACCTCTGTTGCGTGATGGGTGATGCGGGGTACCTCGCTGCCGCCTCCCCCGCGTGCTCGGCGTGATGGCAAGATCGGGGGTGCGGGAGAATGTTGAAGGGATGTATGGGTTTCTTTTCTGGTGTGGGTGCGGTTTATGGTAGTTATTTGAGTGTAAGTAATTCATGACATTATTACAATAACGAAAAACAGGTTCGTGTAATCTGTTATTTTCTTAATTATCGGTTTCGGGGATTGTTTCCAGTACTACTATACCACGGTGACCCTTTATTAAGTCGTGTGGAGGAATCTCAGCCAACAAGGTTGACCCTACCTACCCCTAAAACCAGATTTCTCTTTTTCGGCCACTTAAATTTGCGTCCTCGATGTAAAAAAACCTTGTTAAAATCTCGTAGATTCAGAATTGTTCTTCTGTGGAGGAATGATTTCCCGTTTCAAGTCAATGCGAGCTGCCATTTTTGCAAAAAGCTTAGAAAGGGGTGTTATTCACAGAAAAAAGCATATTAATAGACCTTTGTAAGGGATCAGTGATGAGTACCGCTGTCACTGATTGTGTTGTATTTTCTTCACAGTTAGAATGCTGCGATACTTGCCACTGGACCACCCCGTACTTTTAAAAACTGCCGTATATTGCAGTCGGTTGTTCGCTACCCCAATCCAGGGGTTATCATTTGAAAAAGTGGTCAAACATTTACTGACTCGTTTGATATATAAAAGAGTTACCATTGAAAAAACATGAGGTGCCTACAGGACACTCTGATTACGAAATTAACATGCTACTGTTTGTGATGCGTTTATGTACTTACTACCCAGAATATCAATACTTTAGGCAACTGTTCTGCGTTTGTTTTGCCCAGCACTCCCGCTGTCCATATGCACTGAGGAAGCTCTAAGAGCATTGGGGGCTGAAGATAGCAGTGGGTTGGGGGGGGGGGGGGGGCAGGTCCCCGAAAGTATATAGGGTGACGCTCCCGCTGCTACATCAAGGCTTGAAGGCAAGGCTTCTCCATCACTTGTGGCGGATGATTTGACGGTACATTGATATGCGTATCACTAAGAATATCCTGACTAACGTGTTTTGTTTGTCATGTAGTCGCATGCTATGATGATACATCATAGTAATGCGACATATCCGGAAAGCCGGACACAAGTGATAATGAAGTGAGCATGTGAAAGATTCTTTTTTCGCGTTTGGTGTGATCAGTGTGCTAGTTGTGTTGGTATCTCGGAGTTGGACAGCGTTGTGCCAGCAGATGCTGCTCGAAGAATGCTGTGGCACCACCGCTCATTTGGGAACGTTTAATCATGCCGATGACCCGTCGTTCGTGAAATACGGCCGCCTCTGGGGTTTCAGCGCCTTGATATATCTGTTTCTCGAACTCGGTCTTGTAAAGTAATTTATCTTTAGATGTTAATGAACGCATGACCATAACACATGACACAAAGAAGGACGTGACCTCATAAATTTGGCATTCCGGTCTGCCTAAGGTAAAATTTTGATCTTCGTTTTCTGCTCGCTGTGTCCACGTGAATCATTTGGAGCAAAGTTGGCGTCATGATAGTGTGAAATCGAAGGTTTGCTTCATGATAAGTCGTGGAGCGCTTTCTTGCGTTGTCTGCTTCTTCTGACATGTAATGGGAGAATTAGAACGTTCCGGATTTTCTAGGGGTGATATGCTCAGATAAAGCGCAAAGCTGGGTGTGAAAGCATAGAGAATGCGGGCTTTCGACCGTCCCAACATTTACTGCAATTGTGATTGGTTTTCACCTTGTAAGGCACGGCGCGTGTGATATATAGATATATATATATATATATATATATATATATATATATATGCATATATTATACATATGGATACCTGGTAGTGATAACTTTTGCAGCTGGCGCGTCGTCAAACCCCCAACACATACCTTAATGTTATACGTGCAATGAATATGTTGAATGCAATGTAATTCCGCCATTCCGTCCCTGGCTCAAAAGCCACGAGTCGTGTCGTCGCTGCTCAAAGTATAGATGCTCTGATTTTGTTAGTTTTTTGGGCAGCGGGTGGAACTTTTTCCGGCGAGCTGTATGTCAGAGTTGTATGTTCAAAAATCTGTAAGCTTTCTTGAATTTCGAATCGGACCTCAAATTGTAAATCGGTCTCGAGGCGACCCTAAACGAGAGCAAAATATTCTCGCCCATCACAAGTTTTTTCAAGCACACGCGCCGGTTTGTCGCCGGGCTCATGGCCGGGCATGCGTACGGCTGGTTGTCATTGATCCCTTGCACAGTGCTGGGACGGCGATCAATGGACAGCGTCATTGGGCCGACCTTGCCGGCCGCCTGCCATGCGCCGGCGGCCTTGGCTGCGTGCCGCCGGCCGCGCCGCTCCTGACCGGCGTCAGCGACCTCGCAGCCCGCGGCGGCCGACCGACGATCACCTTCGCTACCCGCCGGCAACCTTGGCGGACGCCGATGTCGGGCGCCGGAGCCTTGAGCACCGGCCGACCCATTTCTGGCCCCCCATGTCCGGGTCGGCGCCGAAGGACTGCCCGGTCGACAGCAGCGCCGCCCGCATAAGCTGATCTTTGCGTTTTTGCCGATAGGTGGCATGACGGAAAGCTGCACATTTTCGGCTTTATCGAATGCAGTATGTGCGGAAAGGGTTATTGACCAGTTGCGGGCTTTCTCTGGGCGTTTCTTGAGGGAAGCGAACGTAAAAGAGGCACGACGAGTCGCGGTGTGGTAAAGCTCCCACAAATGTCCCAAGTTCTCGCGGACGGGGGGAGATTGAGCACGAGTGTTCTTGCCGCTCGTGGGTTGCTTGTTAGTGCCATTATGCTTTAGGTCTTATTTCGGTGACTATCGAGTAGGAACAGTTCTTTGGATGTTTCCTTACATAGTATGTTTATGATAGCTGTTTCTTATCGCCAGATTCCCCCCGCACACGCACACGCACAAACCAGTGTGGATTTCCAGGTGTTCATCCCCGGAGCTTTTCTTGCCGGCGTGGTGCTGCTACGTCTCATAAACAACCTGTCGCAATATGGGATAGTGGAGTGTCTCCCAACTCAAATATTTCAGTCCATGGGTAGCATGGGTCGGGGGTGATTTAGCACACCCAAAACGAATAGCGCGGATCACATCGTGTCCTCTCTTTATTACGTATTGTTATGTAAAGGGGAGGACAAAGCCGAGTGCAGCGTATGAATGCAAGCACGGCATCTTGCGCTGTCAGACTGATTTCTAGGGTATTGGCCAGGGGCTGGCTCAAAGCCAGGCTTCTTGCCTCGAAGACGAAGCCGAAGCGAAAACAATGACTGAATACGGGGGGCGGAAGCTGAAGCCGAGGTAGCGTAGAAGGCTGGAACTGCGAAGCCAAATCCGAAGCCGCTGACTTTATGTTTTTTTAAAGTGAAGCATATTTCGAAGCCAGTGGCTTGGAATCATATGCACAAGAAGCTGAAGCCGAAGTCAGCGTCTTTGAGTTAGGAAATGAGAAGGCAGTCGAACTCATCAGTCTAAAATCACCAGGCCGAAGCCATGGTCATGATCATATTCATGTTCATGTTCATTTTATTCTCGAAACATTGCAACAAGCTGCTTATTGTTTGAGTCGGTGCAATTGCAATACCAGTATTAGTGCAATATTAAAACATGACAACAACGGCCTCAGCGTTTTCGAAGCACACTTGTCAAGCCGATGCAGTGAGCTCACAAACAGAGGGGAACTGTTTGCCGCCCACATGTACTCGGATCCGTAAGTGGATAGCAGTGACAGTTACAAGATTATTTGTCGGTTGTGGGAAACATAGTCGCAGGTGCAGTGAAAAGTCACCACGACAAAGCCGAAGGTCCAGAATTCTAAGATGGTACGAAGCTGAAGTTATGGCCGTTCTGGAAGTTATTTTTGCGTAATTCAAAAATTGCGGGAGGCCGAAGCCCTTTCGAAGCCAGCCATTAGGACATCACATAAAGCCCATGCCGAATTTAGCTGTGGGAAATCGCTCAAGATCGAAGCTCAACCGGGGGCCATCGGAGGAAAAGTGCTGCTTTCCGAAGTCGAAACCGAATAAGCAGGTTTCGTCCCCATGCCCGGCAGGCAAAGCCAACGCCAAATGCGTCTCGTAGATCACTGTGGAACAGAATTGCCTTTGACGCCGCGAGTTCTCGGCCGTGACTGCTACCGTATTGTCAGCGATGTCTGGGAAGCCAGCGGACGGACATTACAGTATGCTCTCGCACAAAGCGCAGCGCATATGTGCAAAGCGAAGTGCATGACAGAGCGGTGGTCTACACTCAGCGAGGACAGTCGCCTTCCAATGTGTTAGGGTCGGCCGAGGTTTTGGTCAGGTTGGGCTTACCACGTTGCATTCGTTGCCCTTGATGGTCTGTGTACATTGACGGTCGGGTGGGAAGCTTCCTTGTCTCGTGCGACCCCGTGAAAACATACTGGACTCTGACTATGACGAAACGGGACTTGACTGGACTGATAATGTGACAAGGTGACTCGGGACTCGCACCCTCAAGGTGACAAGGTGACTCGGGACTCGCACCCTCAAGGTGACAAGGTGACTCGGGACTCGCAGACCCAAGACGCCTGGCTCGGGCTGAGGACGTCGAACTGGTACCGGTCCCAGATGAGTGGTGGTTGAGATGAGAGCTCTCCAACGTCGAGTGGTGTGACGTGCCGCCGCGTCCTGTCCACAGATGCTGCGCGACTTGAGGCCCGGTCTGCGGGACGAGCAGAGGTCACCGAGCGGCGGCGCCACCGGCGGATCATCCCTGTATGGTCAGTCGGGTGAGTGCACCTCCAAGCGGCCGCGCTCTCCAGGGCGAAACGCTCCCCTGTCGGGTGTTGTTGATGTATCCTGCTGCTGGCTGCCATGCCCATGTGGCCTGTCGGTCTTATCAGCGCTCGTTCTCATTTTGTCTCCGGCCCAAAAACACGAACCAGCGCACTTCGGTGTCGTCATTCGGGGCGCGACTTGTCAATGCGGTTCCACTCGGCTATCTGTCGGTAACGCCACGGAAACTGTCGCCTCTAAGTTCGGCATCGATCTTTCCCACTCACAGAAGATGGCAGCACATGTCAAGCTACGGCCTGAGTCGGCTGCGCCCTGCCTTTCGCCACAGTGTGATTAACGGCTGGGTCCGCCGTCCTGTGGCGGTGCCGGCGGCGGGCGGTGCCGTGCGCACCCGCCACATGCGACATCGGTTTGGATTGGATGCCTCCGGTCGGGCATCGCGTTGAGCCACAATCGCCAGGCCTGGCATGCGCGTCGTCAGCCACGGGAGGCACGCGGCGCTGTCAAAATAAAACGTGTCAGGCGCAAAACCAATCGGCCGCATTGCACCAAATCCGAACCACTGCTACTGACAGAAGCCGCGCGTCTGTTGGCGATCGGGCTGGCGTCACTCTGTGTTCGCCGGACGTTGGACTGGCGGTACCCCGTGTTCACCGGACGTTGGACTTGCGATACCCTGTGCTCTCCAAACGTTAGACTGACGGTATCCTGTGTTCGCCGGACGTGGGACTGGCGGTACCTTGTGTTCGCCGGACGTTGGACTGGCGGTACCCTGTGCTCTCCGAACGTTAGACTGGCAGTATCCTGTGTTCGCCGGACGTTAAACTGGCGGTACCCCGTGTTCACCGGATGTTGGGCTGGCGATGCCCTGTGCTCTCCAAACGTTAGACTGGTGGTATCCTGTGTTCGCCGGACGTGGGACTGGCGGTACCTTGTGTTCGCCGGACGTTGGACTGGCGATACCCTGTGCTCTCCAAACGTTAGACTGGTGGTATCCTGTGTTCGCCGGACGTGGGACTGGCGGTACCTTGTGTTCGCCGGACGTTGGACTGGCGATACCCTGTGCTCTCCAAACGTTAGACTGGCGGTATCCTGTGTTCGCCGGACGTTGGACTGGCGGTACCCTGTGTTTGACGTATGTTAGACTGGCGGTATCCTGCGTTCGCCGGACGTTGGACTGGCGGTATCCTGCGTTCGCCGGACGTTGGACTGGCGGTACCCTGTGTTCGCCGGACGTTGGACTGGCGGTACGTTGTATTCGCAGGGCGTCAGGCTGAACGTGGCCTTGCGATTCATACAAATCAGGCTGGTGTAGCCTTGTGCTCGCCGGACGTTATCAGTGGCCAGCCTAGCACGCTCGTGTCTGACATTCGCCATCGGACGTCACGGCCGTCTGACCTGGCAGGCGAGTTTTGGTGGAGCACCGGCGGGCCGGCGGCGGCGCTGGCGGCCGCGCGGCCCTGGTTCGAGGACCAGTCGCCCGACAGCGACACCGAGGAGTACCTGCTGGACAACTCGCTGCGGGACCAGCTGGTGCCGGCGAGCCCGAGCCGCGGCGACGACGTCGTCTCGCTGGCCACCGCCGGCGACATCCGGCTGCCGCGGTACGGCGGCCCGTCGGCGGCGGCGGCGGCGGCGGTGACGGCGCCGGTCCCGGCCCCGGCTCCGGAGCCGGCGCCCGGCGACCCGCTCTACTACCAGAACATCGGCTACGTGGTGTCGCCGTCTGGCGAGCTGCAGCGGCAGGCGAGCCGGCAGGGCGGCCGGCCGGCGCCGCTCGAGCCGGCGCTGGTCACGGCCGTGGCCGGCCTCTCGCTGCGTCCGGCCGCCGCCGCCGGCCTCGCCGGTCACTAGCCGCCTCGGCGCGCGCGCTGCCAGCCGTCCGCTTGACCCAGCGCAGCGGCCCCGGGGACGCGCTCGGTCGGCGCTGGTGAGCTGGTGCGGGGGCCGACGTCCGGGACCGGCGGAGATGGCCGGGACCGTGGTCGTCGCGTTGGACGGCGTGCCGTTCCGAGCCCCCCGGCGGGTGACGCGCGGACGTGTCGCCGACGCTCCCACTGCGCTTGTGTAATCGTAGAATACCTGCCCGGCGTTTGTGCAGGCAATCAAAGATCTCATGGCAGGAATTGTCATGCTCCGTGACGTATTTGCTCACAAGGTGACAACGAATGCGTGTCGCGACCGTGCTGCGCCTCATCGAGTACTGCGTGCTGTCTGCCTCTTATTTTGCGAGTAGCTGTCTTCCGCATTGTGCACATAGTTGCAGCGGGGTGCCCGTCTGCATTGACCTCAGCTTGGCAGCCAGCTGATCTTGTTTGTTCGTGGCCTCAAGCCTGCGCCTGTCTTAGCATTGTCGACTTTCATGCGCGCTCACGGCGGAGCAGAGTGCGCAGAGAGGTACGCGTGCAGCAGCTAGGTGTGCCGGGGCGTCCGCTCGATCGGTGCTCCCTCGGTGACCCTGCGCTGGTGAGGATCAGCCGCAGTAGCTCGTCCGTACCTCCCCTGGTCGCCTGTCGTCTCCGCGCCGCTCCGGGACCTCCGTCACGCAACCTCCAGCCGGCCGGCAGCATGCCTGCTACACCTGATGATTCGCGATTCACCGACTGGTTCTTCCTCGGGTCATCAGTGTTTTGCGCCTCTCTGTTATATGTCAAGTGTCGCAAGTTCTATCCTTCCGGCTCGTCGATCGTTACCGTATGCCACTAAGTCACTGGCTCTGCACGGCACGACCAGGCCGCCGGCTGCTCCGTACCTGCACAGATGACGGCTGTTTCGCGTACCCCTCGCTCGCTCGCGGTGTCCACGCTGCTAAATGCCCGCGCCTCCGTCCTTCATTTATTGACGTCCCTCTATCGGTTCCCCCTGCGTTGATCGCCCGCAGACCGTCGGCCCACGTCGTACCCGTGTCACTGTATCTGTGACACGTCACTGTCGCGGGGACATCTGTCGGCGACATCCACAAAGTACAAGTGGACGTGACCCGGCGCCCGGCCGCCTCGCCGACGCGCCGCCGTCCCCGACAGCCGGTGGTGCAACCGGTGCACGCCGTGGCGTTGTACGGTGTCGTGGGACCGCTGTCACAATGACAGTGGCGTCGCGTGCCGCGTCGTCCCCGGGTGGACAGTGCGGGGCGTCGTCGGGGCGGGGATCCGTCCGATTGGAGGGGGAGGGGGATGTGTGTAACCGGCAGAAGCTGTCGGATCGCTGTCGCCGTTTCGTTACCAACCGTAATAAAGACAGTAGCTATCAGGAGTGTTACGTCCGGCGCCCGTTGAGAGCGCCCGTAGCGTTGCAACGCGACATCTGCGGTAGCTGCGCGGAGTGGACGCCCAGCTTGGGAATGGATGCGGGGGCTTGTAATTTCTGTTGATCCGGCGTGCAGGGTAGAAGTGAGAAGTCTCGGGCGACGTTGGGTCGGGTGCAAACGTGGGCCTCATCAAAGCGCGTGCAGCGTGTGCATCTATCACGCTGTACTCAGGCTTAATTTAAATTAGTTTTTGTATGCCGGGTGTGATCCGCGCATCCGCCCGCGGTATGTCGTGAGCGAGCTGACTCCTGCCACGAGCGTCAGCTGGCTCAGAGGCGCGCGCGACGAAGTCGTGGACAGAGACGTCAGTCGTCTTGGTGAAGGGAACCAAGGGGAACACAACATACACCGCGGTTGCTCCGTGTGAGCCATTTTTCTTCGATCTGTTCCGTCCTAGGGTCATCAAAACCATTCCCGTCAATTTGGGTTCATTTGCTGACCGCCGGGGGGTGTTTAAGCTCATGTTATAAACAGTAAGGCTATTCATAATATCTCATTCGTCCCATGAATGTGTCGCTGTGTAACACAATCATGTCCCTCCCCTCCCCTCCATTTGCACACGGTATTTGGTGTGCGTATTTTGTCAAGCAAACTTATCCCTGAGGAACATTTGCGGGCGAACTTTGTGCACTTGCGTTATAGTGCGCCATGCGAACTGTTGCTCAGTTTATTTTGTTGGACGAAATGACGAACTGTGTGCGAAATTTTCGTACTTGCACCCTAAATTGGTACATGAAAATGTTGGCTTCTAACCTTCGTTGCGAGCAAACTTATTAACAATTAACCATGTGAACGTTTACGTACCGTCTTTTACGAACTTTTCACATCATGAACATGATACCTTACGTGCCTTACTGACCTGCGTACCCTTCAAAATATCCTACATCCTCAATGCTGACAACTCCAAGCATATACACTTTATCCTACGAACAATTTCCATGCAAACTTGTCTGTAAGTACTTTTATTCTCAATCCCTCTTCAGCGGTGGGTAAATGTTGAGAAATGTTGGAGACTGGACCTCGCCATGATCTTCATAGATGGCACTGTGGGTTCCTGACGTGGCACTCCGCGCCTGGGTCACTGAGGTCAGTGCAGCAGCCACTGAAGACGGGCTTCACCCTCGGCGAAGGTGTCCGTGAATTGCTCCAGAATTCCAGTGGCATGCTCTGCAACATCGCCGGCCACTTAAGCATTGCTAAAGGAGGTTGTTAAGTCCTGTAAGTTCTCGCGTAGCTGCTTCTCCTCTGGGCACTTCATCAGCCACCTGTGGGTCGATGGGTTGACGGGTTCAGACTGACAGGGAGCCAACTCTTCGGTGTTGGAGGTCTCTGACCGACTAAGACACCCGCATTGTCTCAGGGGGTCCTCAAGAGGGTGCAAGAGGCCCTCGGTCACGACGCTGCAGGCCACGCTTCTTTACGAGACCTACAGCTAGCCCTTCGCGTCCTTATGCCCTCCAACCTGGGCCCTTAGCCGTCGGTTCTGTTGGGCCGACCGGGCCCCTCTTTGGACCTCATAGAACATTGCCTTTCGTGGCGCGGGGCCCCTTGCGAGCACAGAGCTCCCTGTCAGACACTGTGGGCCCCTGACAGAAACAGGGGCTTCGGTAATTGTAAATCGTTGGCCCCGACCGGTTTAAATCGCTGGCCCCGGCTTTGTGCCTGCTTGGAAAGTGGACCCTCAGGCCCATAGCGACACGGAGCTGACTGCGTTACTGGGGGCGTTCGATCTGACTTTTTGGCCTATGGCATCTCTGTCGGCCTCGTGTACTCTGTCGCTGCTCAGTCGTGAACATCATAACAAGTGGTATGCAATGTCATAACTTGCGACGCACTACCGCCGCCAGGACTGCGATGGTCAGCACGGTCCATGATGACAACAACCGTTGCGACGATCCTCTTTAATTCGAGCCAAGTCTCGATATGGGCTCAGATCGTGCACGGATGCGTCAGTCACGAGAGGAGCACGAAAACATGTACCGACACTACGTGTCCGCTGGTCAGACATGTTGCTGAGCATGTGTCGAACGGTGCAGCGTCTGGTGCGCCTGTGTGTCTGCGCGTGGCTCCGTGCGCCTGTGTGTCTGCGCGGGGCTCCGTGGGCCTGTGTGTCTGCGCGTGGCTCCGTGCGCCTGCGTGTCTGCGCGTGGCTTCATCAGCCTGTGTGTCTGCACGTGGCTCCGTGCGCCTGTGTCTGCACGTGGCTTCGTGCGTCTGTGTGTCTGCGCGTGGCTCCACGCGCCTCTCGCGGCTGGATAGCCGATAGACGATCTGAGCCTACGTCGAGACCTAGTTCGAATGAAGCGAGTGGACTGCTGAGCTGCGAACGCAGCCCCGGCGGTGGCATGTCACCCTGTGCCAGGCGACGGTATTTGAGACTCATGCTATGCAATGAACTTATTTCGATGCTGAGAAACGCAAAATCATGAAACATCGTGCTGAGATGACGAAAGAGCATGTCGTGGAGGTAGTACTTGATGGCGCTTGCACTGTGAAGTGAACGAGCGAGTGAAGTCCACTATGTATCTATACGGTCGAAACTTCTGGTAACGCTTCGACCTCCAAATCCGGAGTTTAAGGAAAATTCAGGCTGTGTGCCTGAATGAACACACCCAGCTAACCAGCTAGTTGGAAAATGTCGGTGAATGCCATGCGGTGACGTCAGCCCATCGGTCCACAGGTGGCTGATCAAGCCTTCAGAGAAGCAGCCAGGCGGGAGCTTACAGGACTTAACAACCTCCTTCCGCCGTGTTAAAGTGACCAGCGTTGTTGCAGAGCAGGGCACTGGAATTCTGGAGTATTTCTCGGACACCGTCACCGAGGATCGGCTCGGCTCCATTGGCTTCTGTAGACGGTGCAACGCCACAGCGCTAAATAGGGTTAAATATATATATATATATATATATATATATATATATATATATAATATGAATGACAAGTACATTCAGAGTTGCTCTGAAGAAACATCCATAATATATAATATAATATTATATATATATATATATATATATATATATATATATATATATATATATACAAGGCTTTCTGCTGCCTGTTGACAGTGCCTGTCAAGGCGTTGTCACGAGACAAAGACAAACTTCTGTTCAGTTTGATACGCGCGCGAGTAGATTCTTTAGGAAAGGATACATAATGGCACTGCTTGTGCTTCTTTCAGTAATGGTTAATTTCATGCGCACTACGTTTGCAATATGATCATTGCGAAATAACAATCCTCAGCGTAGCCTTCCGAGACCGTTTTAGTTTATAAAGCTAACCTGTTTGAAAAATACAAGCGGGGGATTAGCAGGTGGGTATAACGGATAAGGAAAATACAGCGGATAGGTATGGGTATAGCCTCATGGGTAGCGGGTTGATAAGCCACAGGTAACCGTATCCACGAAGGCGTCTAATGTGAGCCGAAAAGAAATATTTTACACATTCTAGGCGATCCAAAGCTCAAAGCGTCTTATAGATAAATTAAACCGACATTTTACTTGCCTCAATCATACACTGATACAGAAGTTTCCGTGCAATTAGGATACCACGATTAATTTATGCGTCGATCCTAATGATCTGCTCGCTACACCTAAATATTGATTCCGATCTCGATGAAAATGTTACTCTCGGATTGCATTGGTCCAAGTGATGGGAAAATGCATTGCAAGCGTCTATCCCAAATAACTTGTCAGTTATGCCATGTCCAAACAAAAAGACATGCATCCAGTCAGTCGGCGTCATTTGTGAGGTGCGATGAACAGACCGTCTCAGATTTCTTCTACATCCGTTGTATAAACACATTGGCTATAACCGCACGCGACGCAGCCTGCGGCCAATGTCTGTCACCGCCGGGACCTCCTATTGCGCGTGTACGGTGACCTGTACGGA